GGTGGAGCATTTTTTAAGCCAAAGGGTAATACTAGCCATTCGTAATGGCCATCGGGAGTGATGAATGCGGATCTTTCGATGGATTCTTACGTGAGGGGTACGTGCCAGTAACCCCACGCCATGTCAAGTGTTGAGAAAACGTGTGACGAGGATAGCTGGTCTATAATGTCTGTAATTCTAGGTAGTGGTTCGCGTTCGTCGACGGTAACAGCATTGAGTCGGCGGTAGTCAATGCATAATCTGGATGATCCATCCTTTTTCTTCGCTAGAGTGACAGGTGAAGCGAATGGTGATCGGAGACGTTTGTCGAGTAAAATTTTGATTTGGCGTCGGATTTCGTTTAAGTTTGGAATGGAGTGACGGTAAGKTTTTGGTAGAGTGGTTGTTGGTCTTGCAGTAGACGGATGTGGTGAGCGACGTTAGGTATCCGACCCACGTCGTTGGGGTCGGCTGCGAARATTTGTGGGTACTTGCGTAGTACATTTATAGTTGAGTTAGGAAKTGGTTGGYTGTTAGGTTTGGTTGGTTTAGATTGGTTAGGAGTTGGTGTTGTATTTAGGGTTATGTGGTCATCACATAGGAGACAGAGCTGTCTTTGTGTTGCGAGAGATGAGTGTTGTGTGACGAGTCGTTGTTTGAAGTCGAGGCATAAGTTGAAGTCGGCACAGGTGCCAATGCCTAGTAGTAGGGCTGTTGGAGCGTCTTTTAGTACGTGCACGTGCACTTTGAGTGTAGTTTTGTTGATCTTTAGGGTTATGGTTAGGCGGCCGTCCGATTTTGTTATTCCGTTCACTTGTGTGACGAGAATTGCGGTTCGAGGGTCAGGGGTTTGATTGAGAACTCTGGCAAAGGCTGTGCTGATTACGTTTATTGTTGAGCCAGAGTCGATTACAGCTCGTGCTGGTATGTCGTTGACCCGTACCGCGATATCGTTTAGTGACGACCGCCCAGGTCGTTTCCCTGAACTGTGTCGTAGTTTTCGTTGAGTTGATCTCCACTTGTGAGAAGTGACGTGTGGATAGGTTGATCTCGCCCCACGGTTGCATATATGTATGATGTTGGCGTTTGACGACTGTTTTGGAAAAATGGGTTAGTTTTCGGTTGCGGTTGAACTTTCGGTATGGTGTTGGGCCATGGTCGTTGACAATCGCGATGCCAATGATGGGCGACAACTCCTGCGTTTGCACAATTACGGCACGGGCCGGGCGGCTGGGATTGTCTTGTTGATTGTATATTAGTTCGAGTGGCTGATGCGTATGTTGGTCTCCCCTTGGTTGGTTGGTTGATTTCGTGTGGTGTGGCGAGCTTTAGTGTCGTCACATGTTGTGATGGTAGTGACGACTCAAGTCGTTGAGCTAATGTGAGCCAATCGTTGTGATCGCGTGGCATAGCGCATAGAAGGTAGCCACGAAATGATTCAGGCATTCCGGCAGTTAGTTGACCGACAATGTTGTTGTTGTTGAGTTCGGCCATACGTAATAATCGCATTTTTTCGTCGAAATAGTTTTGTACGTCTTCATCGGGTTTAAGTTTACGCTCTTGTGCGAGGATAAGTGCATCTCGTCGTTGGGATGCAAAGCGTTGGACGAAGTTTTGTCGTACCTCGTCCCACGACACTGTAGAAATTTTTGATGCTATTTCCGTTGCATACCAGTTTAAGGCGTCGTCTGAAAGGTATGCCATCAGTGTGTATATCCGGTCATTTCCGGTCTGTTGTCTGGTGGYGACTTCAAACAGATTGATCCATAGATCAGCTCTGATAACCGTCTTGTAGCCATTGTATTTTTCGAGTGATGGTCTGTGATTGGGTGTGATGGGTGGTGATTCAGTTGTGATGGTTGTAGTGTTGGTTGAAGAGTTGGTAGTCATTGTTGTTTGTTTTGCAATGACTTGATGTGTGTTTTTCCGGAAGCCTGATCTGAGTTCAATGATGGATGTGTTGAGGTGCGGAGGTTATCCTGCCGACGGTGCGCCAATTGAGACAAAGGTTTAGGAATGGGGTGTGACCACGTCAGGTAGTCACACGAGTGGAGTGTGGTGACGTTAGGTAGTCACACGGACAGAGTGTGGCGACGTTGGGTGGTGTGACGAATRGAGTGTGACGACKTTAGGTAGTCACACGGATAGTGWGGCGGCGTTGGGTAGTCACACGGATAGTGTGGCTACGCTGAGTGGTGTATCGRATGGAGTGTGACGACGTCAGGTAGTCACACGAAGATTCAYAAAGTTTAATAATTTAAACAATAACTTTATTAATAATAATTGGTTATGATTAGAATATAATACACGTGGTATAGAGGTATGGTTAGATTGATATGTGATGTAGTATTGATGTGGACCGTAAGTAAGGTCATAGGTAAGAGAGCGGATGTCCAGTAGTGCGAGAGCTTATATAGGGATAAAGGTAGGAGTGGTCAACCAGGTAAAGTGGTTCAGGTATATAGTGAGTAGTGGTGCCATCTATGTATTGGTTAAGGGTTGTATCAATATATATATATAATTAACTATTAAATTGTATTTTATATATATATACAACACGTTAAGCAGGCTAATTTAGTTGGACACCTGTCCATCCTACTGGCCCGTAGCATATATAAGCATATATATATATATATATATATACTGTCTATATATATACTGTCTAAATATATACTGTCTATATATATACTGTCTATATATATACTGTCTATATATATACTGTCTATATATATACTGTCTATATATATACTGTCTATATATATATACTGTCTATATATATACTGTCTATATATATATATACTGTCTATATATACTGTATGTTAGGTTAGGTTATAACATACAGTATACTGTATTTATATTATTGAGATCTGGCTATACCCTGCTTTTTGTTAATCAAACACACACACACACACAGTGTGTGTAATTAATATTTACCTATTGACCCGGCTAGTGTGTTCAATATATGTTTTTTATCAATAAAATAAAATTGATTGAATAGCAAAAAATCCAGTCTATTGTCATCAATCAGAAATAAACCCAAATATTTCAAAGCATGTATCCATACGCCAAACATTTGCAGGTAAGCAACAAAACGACGTCTACGGCTAAATATCCCCTGAAAATAGTCGTCGGCATTGTTGGCCACCAACAGTATATTGTTTCGTATGTATCGCTGAAACAATTCAATGCCCAACACTTTACCGTCGATGTGTTGGTCATCGCGAAAACCGGTCAACAATATTAACAATCTATCGGTTATTATACTTATTATCTTAAATACGGAAAACATATTTTCAATGATATAGGAAATTATTTCATCAAAAAAATATTTATTTATTTATTATTATAAAGTAATAGTAAAGAGAATAAAATGAAAAATTATATATTTTTTTAGTAAGTATTTATAGTTATTATATTTAAAAATTAAATAGATATTAATAGATCTTAAATAATAATATATTTTTAATTTGAAATAAAGGTTATAGTTTTATTTATATGGTTACCAAATAATTGAGTATTAATTAAATTTTAATTTTTTTTAAATAAATATATATATATATATAATCAAAAATATTTTTTTATACTGTATATATTGATTGTTATTAACTTTTTAGAAATTAATGCTTTTTGTCATAAAAAAAACAATTTTAAATAAATTTTCTATTTATTTATAATAGGAATTTTTTGAAAATTTATATAATATTTTTTTTTTAAAAACTAATTTTTATAAAATACTTGAATTATTTTTATTTTCATTATGTTAGTTTATTATCATAATTATATTTATCCAATAAATTATAATGAAAATTGTAATGAAAATTATAATGAAAATTATAATAAACATTATTCATATTTAATGTTATTTTTATGTTATATTATAATAATAATATAAATTATATTATTATTACTATAATTACTATATATTTCTTTTATTACCGTAATTTTATTTTTTTAGATAATATTTTTAAACAAAATAATATTATTATAATTATATATATTTTTTATTTATAATTAATATTTATTTGACTTTAAATATTATCTTTACTTAATTTATATTTAAGAAAAATAAACATAATTATAAATAGTTTTTTTAAATTAATTATTTTAAAATTAAAATTAGTATTTAAAGAAAAATATTTATTTTTCTTAATATTATTTAATAAATAATTATTTATTTATTTATTTTGTTTTTTTTTTCAATGCTTTAGAAAACAAAAATTTCTTTTAAATTAGATATCAAAACATTTAACTATTTATTGTAATAATATAACTAAAAATTTTCATTATAAATAATTTTTTTCAAAAAAAATTTAAATAAGCAATTAATATTATTAAATATTTTAATTACATACTAATTACATAAATAATAATAATAATAATATATTTATTTATTTTTAATTCAAACATGCTATTAAAAATAATTATAATATTAACTATTTAAAAAAAAAAGTATATAAAAATATAATTTTAAGTATAAATTAATTACTATAAAAATTTTAATATATATTTAAAAAAATTCTAGTAATTAATTTATATTTAAAATTATATCTAAAATATTATATAATATATAAAATTAAAGTTATTATTTTATTATTAACTAAAAAAAAAAATATTTATAATATTTTACACATTATTATTGTCAAACAAATAGATGGCAACACATTATTACTACATTGAAAATTGAAAACAATAATAAATAAAAATCAAATTTCAATACATTTAGTCAATCATTGACTGCATTGTTATTGTTTGCATAACTACTGTATATAACAATAATAATAATAACAATAATAATAATAATAATAATATCAAACAATAATTTTTTTTTTAATCTATTGTTTATTATTAATAATAATTAATATAAATAATTAAATAGTAATAATAATAACATTAACAGTGTTTATGTTATATGTATTGATATATTAATGTAATTTAAACAATAATAACAATATTATTATTATTATTATTATTATTGAAAATATTTTTTAGTTAATAATAATTTTTAATTTGTTTTTTAATTAATTAATTAATTAATTAAAAAAAAATTGTAAACAAATTAATTGTAAGTAAATTATAATTTTATTTAAAATCTCATTTAAATTATTATTATTATTATTAATTCTATTATAGTTTACCGCAAACAACAACAAGTAGTGGTCACTATTACCGCCGCCGCCGATGACCACAACAACAACAACCAATAGATCGATGTCATCGTCACCGAAACGACAGCGTCGGCCATCATCTGAGGACAATTGCCGACAACAACAATCGCAACAACAACGGGACTCGTTTGACCGTTTCGGCGACGATTTGGCCGAACTATTGTTAGGTTATCTCGGGTTTGACCGGCGTGTCGGCTGCGAGTGTGTTAGTCGCCAGTGGCGCCGTATAGTCTATCGTACTCAACGTGAACTCCGATTTGGCCACACGTATAGTTCGTCGGCTCCGCGACCGCAAACGTGGCGCCAATTTGAGACAATTGTACGCAAATGTTCGGTCGGTTCGATCACTCGTCTAGAGTTTACCGACGATGACTATCCGCTGAACGATCACAAACTGACGGCAATTATCAAACATTTACCGCATTTGCTTCACGTGTCCGTCGAAAGCTACGGTCAAGTTAGACGTCAGACTTGGAACAAATTTTTCGACCGATTCGGCCGACAGTTGCGGTCATTGCGTGTGGATCCGCATCGCGAAGATATCGACTACTTCCAAAACCGTATCGGCAAGTATTGCCCGAATTTGCGGTCACTGGACATAACCAATCCGTATAGCGATAGGTGTTTTCATTATTTGACCGACGCCGCCGCCACCGATGGCCACCAAACAACAACAGTGTTTAATCAGTTACAGAGACTATCGTTACTCTACGCCAACAAAGACACCGATCGTTTCGAGCGATTTGTGGCCAACTATGGCCGAACAATGCGAACCGTATCGGTAATGACCAGCTTTAGTCTCAATCGGGTGGCCAGCGATATATTGTTGACTGGATTGTCGCAAATGTCTCGACTGGTATCCATTGAAATCAAATACTATCCGAGTCAGACGTTTTCGGTATCAATTGGCCGACTATTGCCTCGGATCGGCCAAAATTTAAGTCAACTGAAACGATTGTCCATTGAATGGTATCACGCGGACGGCCAGCATATTGTCGAAGTGATCGACACATTGAACCGGAATTTTCGGCACATCCAGCGTCTGGAGCTAAAGGGTATGATTTACAATGAATCGCAACCGATGTCCGCACCGTTAGACCAGTTAACCCGATTGACACATCTCAAGCTTAACGTACATAATTTGGTGGTCGGCGATCAGCCACTGTTGGCCCGTATCGACCGACTGTTTCCACGTCTACGGTATTTGTTTGTTACCGAAGCCGATCTGTCGCCGGAGGCGTTGAAATCGTTGTGCCGATTGAAACGTATTCAATATGTTTATATAACATTTCCCGGCGAACAGTTGGACATTACGGTCATCAGAGATACATTGTTGGCCAGTTGTCCGACAATTAGAGAGGTTTCATCTAACTGTGCACTCAATTATCTATTTTAGCCGATATTTTTGTTGTTGAGATACCTAATTGTGTTTTGTTTTTTTATATAAATTTAGTTTTTTTTAGTTTTAGTTATTTTATTTTCTATGTGTACTGTAAACTACTGTAAAATATTAATATATGTTTATATAAAATATACTGTATATATATTTTTGTTGTCGTTGTTATTTTAAAGTTATATTAAATTTTTAAATATTTATCTCATATATTAAATAGTTTTTTATTGTATAGTTAAAAAAWAAATTTTAATTACTATTTTGTATTTGTTTTATCTGTGTGTTTGTGTTTAAGTTGGATAATATATATATATRTATATRTATATGATTGTAATATTATTATTAATTTTTTTTGTGTTAATTTAAGATATAATTTTATTTTATTTTTTTATATTAAATTAATAATTAATGAGAAATCATCAGTTAATTTTTGTTGTTGTAAATTTTTTATTTAAATCATTTATAAATTTCATAAATTAAATGAAAATTTAAAAAATCACAATACAATAATTGTATTATTATTTTTATCAAATAATTAGTTTAATTTATTTATTTTTAAAACCAAATAATGTTTTATTTTTTTCAAAAAAAATAAATACTTAAAAATCATTGTATTACTGTATTAATAATTAATTAATATATTATAATGTTTTTTTTTTTTTTTTTTTTTTTTTTTTTGATAATCATTAACATGAAAAAAATTACAGTAATTAAAAATAATAATAATAATATATATATATAATATATAATTACATATTATACAAAATACTAGATATAGTCAATACCTTAAAACTACAAATCCGAGAAACATTGTAAACTGTAGAATACATAGAATACATATTTGCAATAAAACTTAAATGTTTAGATAATAAAAGTGCAAATATTATAGAAATAAATCGATGATTAATTAAGCTAACTATAGTAATGTTATATATATATATATATATATATATAATTGATCATGCTCATATATGATATATAAAAAAATAACACACACACACAYACACACACACACACACACACACACACACACACACATACACACACACACACACACACACACATACATACACACACACACACACACACACACAYACACACACACACACACACAGTATAAACATATAGGTAAGACACACACACAAAAAATAGTCAACTTTTTATTTGAACTACTGTTTGATATTATTAGTATAGTATAGTCCAATCATTTTAATTTTGATAATTGATTTTTAGTTTTATTTTTTTAATCTGTTTAAAATAATTTCGTATAAATATATACTGTATATGTATTTACTGTATATATATACATAATAGTAAATAAATCAAAATCAATCAAAAAAAATCAATACTTTTTTTTTATTTAAAATTTAAATAACAAATCCGAGAAACAATGTAAAGTGTAGGACACATATGATTATCAATTGTGAAAATTCATAGTTAGTAAACGGAAATAATTTCCAACAATAAAAACCAATCAATGGACCGCTTAGTAGTTCAACAAATCTATCGGTTTTCAATCGTACGGTCAGTGATAACAACCGGCTATCGGGATATCGGGCTATCATTGCCGACATATATCGATAGGATTTATGCGATTCAATGCCAACCATAACCAATAGATGATTAACAATACATATATTCATTAGTACTAATGTTAGGGCAACTAATCCAATAGATTTCATTAATTGATCTTGTTCATATAGGATAAATATTATACATAAATCCAAACCCGGTATAAACATATAGTAATAGACTAATAGGATATTTCTAGCATTGATAATCATTGATATCTTTAGTTATAATACAACATTGATTGTGATCAACAATTTGCCGATAGATTAGATTATTTAAATAATTTTCAGTAATATCTATAAATAAATGAAAGAAAAATTACATAAAAATAATTATAATATATATTTTTTTTGTTTTTGTTTTAATAGAAAATTTATTCAATTAAATAATTATTATCTATAGATAAAATAAAAATCATAATAATTTTTTGCTTGTTTTACAGTAATAGAAAATTTATTCAATAAAATAGAGAAAAAAATCATACAAAAATTTATTAAATTATATAATTATTACTTGCAGTTTTAATATTCAATAGATAAATAAAATTCATAAAAAAATGATAATAATATTTTTGTTTTGTTTTAATACCAAAAGAAAAAATTTATTCAATACACAAAAATTATTATTAGTTATTAAAAAAAATAAATTAAAAAATGATAATATTTTTGTTTGTTTGTTTTTTTTTAAGAAAATTTATTAACTAAATAATTATTATTACATGCAGTTTTAAATAGACAATAGATAAATAAAAATTAAAAATATTAATAATAATATTTTTGTTTTTTTTAATAGAAAAAACATTCAATAAAAAAAATTAATAAAAATAATAATATTTTTGTTTGTTTGTTTTTATAGAAAATTTATTAAATAAAAAATCATAAAAAACTAATATATTAAAAACTAAATAATTATTATTACCTGTAGTTTCAATAGACACTAGTGGTCTATAAATTTGTTTGAATCGCAATGTTAAATACAATGATACTAAATAGACAAAATAAAATGTTATACAACATAAGGCTAGACATCCACGTGCGGCTAGAAATCCCATTAGAAACCATATTAACAACAATACTGGACTACAATCGGAACGGTATGTTATATAGAAAACTATTGACAAATATATGTTCAATATATAGACAATATATTTGCTAATTTCGCAAACAATGAAAATATATTTGAATACAAATAGACAATTAGTTGTAAAAATTTTTCTATTATGTTTTGTTAAATTTAATCTAGATTGTTTTACTAGTATAAAATATAGGTCTAAAAATTTAGCCTGTCCATATTGTTCAGTATACAATGAATAGGTGCCTATAATAATAATAATAATAATAATAATAATAATAATAATAATAATAATAATAATAATAATAATAGGATATTAAAAAATAAATTGTTTTTTATATTTATTGATTTTATTTTATAAAAAATAATTATAATATAAAAATTTTTACCTATAATTGCCAACAATAACATAACGGCAGCCATTGTTAGTTCAAATACATAGCCCTTATTGAACATAAATAGTTGATTAGATAATATAATAAGATTTAGGTCTAGATTATCGGTTAGTGAAACCATTGAAAATTTGAAAACATGTAACCAAATAACCATTAGCTGAATGTAGGCCAGAAAACGGCGTTTCCAATGAAATATACCCATAAAATAGTCATCAAAACCGGTCGACACCAGAGAGTTAGTGTATTGGATATAATGCATAAACAATTCAATACCCAATACATTGCCGTCAATGTGCTGTTCAATGGGATAATCAATCAATAATTTAACTAATCTATTGATTATATTGATTATAATTTCAATAAATAATTCATAAGAAAAATATAAAATTTTTATTTTATCCGCTATTATTAATAATAATTTATTATAGATAAAATTAATATAAATCATATAATTTATCATATCTGAGTATTATATATAATTAGAAATTTAAAGATTATAATCTATATTTTATTATAATTATAATTTTATTATAATCTATATTTTATTATAATTATAATTTTATTATAATCTATATTTTATTAAAATTATAATTTTATTAATTTTATAAAACATTGGTATAGCATATGATTTAGTTCACACATTACATTAACATTAATTATTTATTCAAAATTATAATTATTGATAAATAAAAATTAAATAATAAACTAAATTATTGAATATCGTGTTAATAATAGTCAATATTAGACTATTAATTATTTTATAATATTAATATAAATATAATATGAATTTACCTGGTATAATTGAACCTAACTATTAGGTTCAATTGATAGTCAAATTTATCTAAAATATTTTTAAAATTTCTAATATAGCTTATATTTAATCAAAAAAATGTATATCTATTAATTATATATTTACAAAACAAAAATTATATTTACAATAATTTACATCAGATTCTTTACAATTATTTTTTTTTTAAATAAATTTTATAGATATTTACAAATTTAATAATAAAAAAATTATGTTATTTATAAATCTATCAATAGTAAAATCCAAAATCAAATACAATCATTTATATGATTAATTTAATTATATGTATAAATATATATATATATTTATATTATGTTGTTGTTGTTGTAGCAGTTTTTTATAATAACTAATTAATATCTATTTTTTAATAAAAATTTAATTGATTAGTATTATTCGTATAATGAGTAAAATATATGGAGATTTTTTATAACTCTAAAATTATTAAAAACAGTCTATTAGCTAACTTTATTATAATAATGTTATATATATATAATATAATAATATATATATAATATAATAATATATATATAATATAATAATATATATATAATATAATAATATATATAATACTGTATAATAATATATATATAATATAATAATATATATAACATTATTATAATAAAGTTAGCTAATATATTTAAATATTTGATCATGCTCACATATGACATAAAAAATAACACACACACACACACACACACACACACACACACAGTATAAACATATAGTAAAACACACAAAAAAATAGTCAACTTTTGAACTACTGGTTGATTATATTGGTATAGTATAGTGAAATCATTGTTATCGACAATAATTGATTTTAAGATTATTTTATCGCTGTTTAATTAATTAGCATAAATTTATATATACATAATAGTAAACAAATCAAAATCAATCAAAATATCAATACTTTAAATAACAAATCTGAGAAACATTGTAAACTGTAGGACACATATGACTATCAATTGATAGAAGTTTTAATAGACAATAGAAAAATAAAATTTTTTTAAAAATGATAATAAATTTTTTTTTGTTTTAATACAACAAAAAAAAATTATTATTAGTTACTAAAAAAAATGATAATATTTTTTGTTTGTTTGTTTTTATAGAAAATTTATTAAAAAAAAGAAAACTCATTTATTAACTAAATAATTATTATT